GATAGAGTGTTTCTGAGACACGGACAAAGAGGTCATCTCCAATCCTGAGTGCGTGCAACACTTTCAGTACATTGTTTCTCGAAACAAGGATGGGCGATGCACTGCAGACAGTCCTTCTGATGATAGAATTATCAGTCTAGATGAGTTATCGCGGAAGTTGAGAAATTGAATCAGGAGATTCGTCTGTTCAGCATTCGTTCGTTCTTTATCAGCATATTAAGTTTATGCGCGAGTATAAAACCTCGGGCATATGTCCAAGGTTGACGTGACAGCCGCGTCAAATCAATACAGTTTTTCTTCACCATATCACGACGTTGTCAAAGAAAGTACAATTACGAAACATCGTATTATCTTCGACAGTTCTGCGAGAAGCTCTTATCGAGACATCAATAAACGACACGCAAGTTGTTGGCTCGGCCTGTCAGAGCGATTTAATCAGTATGTTAACTCGTTTCCGCAAACAGCGGTTCGTTCTGTCTACCGACAATCAAGAACATCCGCGTGCACGAGAATGATCGTAGATTTCAGTGGATCTTCTGGAGATACTCGCTCAATAAATCAGTCAGTACATACGACTTACACTGCGTACTACTACGTACACTGCATCGCCTTGCATTCATTGGCCAACACGTCATCATGGTCATGTCATCGATGACTTACTGACAGAAGGCGAGAATCTCGCGGACGTAGCTCGGTACTCCAGAAATAAAAATATTGTGATTAACAGGCATTAGAATCCAACCGAGCCGATGGCCCACGCGGCTAATCGAATGGCTGATTGTAAAATTCAGCGCCCGACGACAACAGATGATTGAGGCTGAGTGAGATCCGCCGATGATCTCGAGGAATATCAATGTGTCTCAACTTAAAGTCAACGCATTCTGGTGGTATACACCAACATGGCTATCCTTGGATTTAAATGGCCCTTCACCAACCAGCAGTCGCTTATTTCAGTAGAAGTCAACTTTGATAGTATGTTCGCTACCGATCAGTCTTCAGTGTACAAATACTGATCTTTGCAACCAAACAACAATCAATGTAAATGCATCGTCACTCGATTGCAACAATTACACAACGATTAATTATCTATATTCGAATCTCCACTTGCATTAGCATTGCACTTTGAGCGCGAGACATTCAAGGTGAGCAGGATTTTAGTGCGTGTTAATCATTTGCGTGTTCTGTATGGTCTAGTTATTATTTGGATGTAGTTATCATGGTCTAGTTATTATTTGAATGGTCTCATATACTCATGGTCTAGTTATTATTTGAATGTAGTTGGACATTTTTTTGAATGTATTCCTTGCATGTTTATTAGAGAGGGCTCAAAAGCATACTGAGATGAGCTGCAGTACAACAATTAAACGAATCATTCTTTGCTAGAACTAGCCCTTTCTGCCAAAACAGGTCGCTCAGCAAAAATGCTGCAATTTTCACCGAACAAAAATTAAACTTCAACAAATCAGAATCTTTACAATTTCCACGACGAAAGGAAATATTACAATTTTCAACGAAGAAAAATCTATATAACTTTAACGAGTAATCAAAAGAGGTAGTAATCAAAAAAATTTGCATAGTTTTGCAAGTAAAGTAGTTTCATTTACAAGCAAAGTTTGCGACTCAGGCAAGACATGTTCATTAATATGGAATTAGTAATAAATCTTTCAATACTCAGACGTTACATTTGACGATCTGTGCAGCCGCGAATAAGTCGCAACAGAAGCATACGAAATAACTAACAGTCAGTTAAACACAAATCACCCGCGATAATGGACAAAAAATTTATTTTGTGTTGTGTGTTGCCAATAACCATAGGAATATTCTATTTAAGGCAGTGTGAGGCAAATGAAATTTCTGATATACTAAACAATCAAGTTTTAACCTCTGTAAGTAAATTTTATTGCCAATTATGTCATCATTTTCTCACTATACCTAAGCAGATTTTATAATTTCTAAAACGGCAGTTGTAAGAAGTATTATTTACATACGAATTATTGCGACTATTATAGACGTAATATTTTTTCTAAAGTTTTGACATTTTAATTAATTTAATTATTTTATTACTTTATTTATATATTTCTATGTATTTATTTTTATTCCTACATAACTAAAGTCACATAGAGCATTTTTTTTAGACAGAAATTGCACAAAAAGCGGAATACACAGCTGAAACTTATGAAGTTGTCACACAGGATGGGTACATCCTGCAAATGGATAGAGTAGCTGGATCGAAGAAAAGTCTTCCGTCGGATAATAAAACAGC